GCACCCGATAATTCTCACTGAATAAGTCGTACGAGTGGGAAACAGTCTCTGTAGTTTTCACGTCGATGATGTTTTATATCATGCCGTGACTCACACTTCCCTTTTACTCTGGAGAAACCCAGAGGGGTAGATCAGATACCGTGGGAGGAGTGCCCGATAAATCATGACAACTGAGTTATCACTTTTATCAAACTCCACTCCAGTTACGAAACTCCTCGAGGCATCAGCAAAAATTCACAGCATCTCGTTTGCCGTGAGTTATCGACGGCCTGAGTAATGAGATCATCCTAGTTATCCTTGTGCTCATCCGCAAGTGTGAGACTCTAGACAATTTGGACCTGGGGCACTTGCCGATGAGCGCTGAATTATTTTATGAAATTTATTCGAGGGAAATACGTTCGTAATGTTATTAGAACAAAGTATAGACAAGGATTTTTTTATAAATATCATGACAAAAAAATCGCATCTTGGCTTCGGAAAATTGTTCATTTTTTTGGAACTAGATGAAACAAGTTGAAGATTATTTAAAGGAGGTAAATAGTTTAAAGAAGTGGCCAAAAATACGAAGCGGCAGGCAGGAGTGGCGCCGCCATCTTGGATACCTCTCCCTATGCCGGAAGGAGCTTTAAAGATGGCGGCGCCTCCACCTCGCGTTTTTAACCATTTATAATAATTATTTGTTTACTTCATATCAACCTCAACTCGTTCCATTCGGTTTCTGTGAAATGAACAATTTTTTCCAGCCATCTTTCAAATTTTTTCATCACTTTTTGGCTGAGAATTCGTTTTTTTACTCCCGAGGCCTCTTACGTGATATTTTTTCCTGTCAATGATATTCAGAACAAGAGCTAAACAACCAAATTTAACTCCTTAATTCTCCCCAAATCCACCAGTAAAACTCTCTTCACCATTCATAACCTAAAAAGTCGTAATGGAGTGCCCATAGAGCCGTCCGACTGTGGAATCCGGAAGTGAAGCTGATTAAAATGCGTCACATCGTTCGTTCCGCGTCCGAGAATCCAAAGTAGCAATCTCCCCGGATTCATTCCAGGAAGACATTCGACCAGCAATTCGTATCTTCTTCTCAATTTCATCACGAATGGAGTTGAACTACCGTTTGCTCGGCAATGCTGTAACTTCACAGACGATTGATCCGTCGATCCTATCTCTATAGACACCAGACTCTCAACTTCTCGCAGTGAAAGGTCGAGCGGTTGAAAGGATTGAACGAGACTCACAAGCACCTCCAGATAGAACCATTATCTTATCTCCAATTGCTCCTATATTTCCTCGGGATTTCTTCCATCAAATTTATTCTCCCTGGCCCCTATCAGGTGTGAAAATTTTTTTTTTCCCCGGCAATTCGTTAAATTCTGAATGTCTTTTACAATTTAATTTTTAATGGTTACGAACGCTGCTCCGCTTCCCATGTAATCCCATTGGCCTCAATTGGCTCCTCCCATTTTAGCTATCGAGAATTACTACAAGGTCGACACAACGCAACAGAGAAGTGAAGTAAAAATGGAAAAATTAAAAACATCCGTGGGAAAGATTGAGAGGGAAGAAAAAAAAATAGTGAGAGCAGTCAGGGTCATTCACTGAAACTCTGGTCATCGACTCACTTCACTCCACCCGTTAAAGGTATTACCAGCTATTACCCCTCGGTCTAATTAGCATACTCAGTCGGGGTATACATGCAGAGTTGTTTTTATCATTTTTTTTTCTCGAGTGGACGAAGGTAAACAGGCAACTGCACCTGCACGAAGCGTGAAAGGGGGTAATAGGTTATAGGATGGGTTACGGAATACAAGGAATTGGGTCCATGTTTTATCTTCTTGATGCAAGATATGAATGTTTATGTGGGATATCGACTCTGATAAATGTCAGGAAGACGGTAAAGGTCATAATGGTCGGGTTGGTTGAGTGGAGGTCATGTGGAGGTCGTAAGGAGGTCGTAAAGGGCATATGGAGGTCTTATAAGAGTCATTCGAAATTTTTAAGGCGCGTGGTGAGGGTCAGGGAATCTGTGAAGAGCATAAGGATCAGTGTGATTATGTGGATGTCGTGTATAGGTCATGAGAAGGTCGTTGGGAGGTCATGAAGGGCCTGTGAAGGTCTTGTGATAGGCCTTCCACATTTTTAAGGAGTTTGATAAGGGTCAGGGAGCCTGTAGAGGTCATAAGGATCAGTGTGATTATGTGGAGGGCGGGTATAGGTCATGTGGGGGTTATGTAAAGGTCGTTCGGAGGTCATGAAGGGCTTAGGTGGGTCATCCTACATTTTGAAGGAGCCTGGTGAGGGTCAGAAAGCCTGTAGAGGTCATAAGGATCAGTGTGATTATATGAAGGTTGTGTATAGGTTATGTGGGGGTTATGTGAAGGTCGTGTGGAGGTCATGAAAGGCGTGTGAAGGTCTTGTGACAGTCATCCCACATTTTTAAGGAGTTTGATGAGGGTCAGGGAGCCTGCAGAGGTCATAAGGATCAGTGTGATTATATGGAGGTTGTGTATAGGTTATGTGGGGGTTATGTGAAGGTCGTGTGGAGGTCATGAAGGGCGTGTGAAGGTCTTGTGACAATCATCCCACATTTTTAAAGAGTGATAAGGGTCAGGGAGCCTGGAGACGCCATAAGGATCAGTTTGATTATATGGAGGTAGTATGGAGGTCATGCAGGGGTTATGTAAAGGTCGTATGAAGGTCATGTGGAGGTCGTGTGGAGGTCACACGGAGGTCCCGTTCTAATAAAAAATAAAAATTGCAAAAACGTTCAATAGTTAATATTCCCCATCGTCATTACAGATATCAAGAGATCCAAAGCGGTGAGTGGGTCTTGTGGTACCTCGAGTGAGTCTCCATCACTCTAAAAAAACTCCCCAAGATGCCACTACCAAAGAGACTGGTTGAGCCAGTGCACGTTGCACGTGGTACAATACCAGAGTCATTTCCACTGCCGTCCGAGCTTGAGGCTGCGACAAATGGCACACTTGCAAACACCATAAGGCAGCTGTCGAGTTTATCCCGACACGCTGAGGATTTATTCGGTGAATTGGCGAGGGAGGCACATACACTAAGTGATCGCGCTAATTCACTACAAGCGAGAATAGACAGATTGGCTGTTAAAGTTACCCAGTTGGACAGCAATGTTGAGGAAGGTGGGTATTTGTGGAGAAATAGCTGGTTTCTCGGGAATAATTGTTTTGTGTTGTTTTATGGTTTTTTTTTTTGCGCTTGGGTTTTTAGTCTCCCTGCAAGATATTCACATGAGGAAGGCCTTCAAGAGCTCTGTGGTATTTGATCAGCAAGTCGTCTCCAGGGACACCATGCCCACGGCTATGCTGGAGACTTATCAACAGTGCGACACACCTCCGCCACTCGATAAACTCAATGTCTACAGGTATTTCACTGTTTTTTTCCTAGTTCCATGGCTATTTAACGCAAAACAAATTCAATACATCATGAATTCAACAAGACATTCACTTTCACATATCGTCATCATTATTAAGATTGTTCGAGGAAGTGGTGACGACTCAATTTTTTCTGACCCTTGTGGCCCTTAACCAGACCTTTATGGCCCTTATTGCGGCCCTTATGACCTTTAATCTGATCCTCGTGACCCTTATTCTTACCCTCATAACCCTTACTTGATCCTCGTGACCTTTATTCGGGCCCTTATGACCATTATTTTAATCCCTGTGGCCCTTAATTTTGGAGTTTTAATTTCGAGTACCAAATTTTCATCACGAGAAGTCCATCCGAATTTTTACAATGTAGAGAGGCCCTTATAACCCTTTATCTGACCCTTGTGATCCTTAATCTGACTCGTGACCCTCATTCTGACCCTCACAACCATTATCTCGACCCTCGTTATCCTCGTGACCCTTATTCAGGCCCTTATGACCCTTATTTTGACCCTTATGACCATTATTTTAATCCCTGTGGCCCTTAATTTTGGAGTTTTAATTTCGAGTACCAAATTTTCATCACGAGAAGTCCATCCGAATTTTTACAATGTAGAGAGACCCTTATAACCCTTAATCTGACCCTTGTGACCCTTATTCTGAGCTTCATGACCCTTATTCTGACCCTCATAACCCTTATCTCGACCCTCGTGACCCTTATTCTGACCCTGATGATCATTAGTTCGGCCCTCGTAACCCTTATTCTGGCCCTTATGACCCTTATTCTGACCCGATTCAAATTCAAGCAGGTCAATGACTCACGTGTTCTCAAATTTACGTAGAATTAATGAACTACGTGTTGAATAACTTATGGCAAATAGTCCTGTCATCTTTTTTTTCTGGACAATTTCATGTTATTACATTTTTCTCGCAATATTTTCAATTCCAGGGAGGATGGTAAAGATGGCTTGAAGTTCTACACAGATCCCAATTACTTCTTCGATCTGTGGAGTCAAGAAATGCTCAAGGATACGGAGAAAAAATTGCACGATCGGGGGAAAAAGGTATCAATTATTTTCATTAATCAATTGACTACGCGCACTGTAACGTGCGAATCTCAGAAGGAGGCTTTTTTTATCTTTTGTTTATGAGAACAATTGTCGACGTGAATAATTCTAACTGTCGAAAATGTCCCCTTGGTTATAGACCGAGTCTGAATATGCCGAACCGTTCAGAGAGGCAAGTCGATGGTTTGGATCTTTGTAGATTCTTTCTGTGATATTGATTTTTTTCCATACCCTTGGTTTGTTTTATTTTTTCATTCCAATGAATATCATCGATATTTATACGTTGACATCACCGTTCACTCACTGCATAATTGAGTTAACTCACATTCTGTGTGGATTTTTCTGTCATTAACGAATATTGAAGTTGAATTTTTGGTATTTGTGCTGTTAGATTTTTTACCTAGACTGCTCGCTTTTAAAATTCTCCAGTAGTTTTTTATCGCTAGGTTTAGGTGATGATTTATCGTTCCAGTTTTTATATTTAATGTCGTCATCGTCATTAATTTTATACAATCATCGAATCACGATTCATCTCATCGAGCATTCCTGTTGTACATTATGAACACAGAGAACATGATCGCATTCAAATACACTGTCAGAAAAAAAAATGAAATTTCAGGGACTGTTGATTATTAATTTTGTGGAGGGTGACGCTGAATTCAATTTAGGGGGGAAAATGATGAAAATTCATATTTCAGAACTGAAATTTTCAATTCCCGTCGATTTTAGCTCAAAATTTTGAATTATAATGACGAAATCGCTTGAAATTTTCAACAAATCGACCAGAAATTTCCGTAAAAATTTCCAACAGTGTATTATTGAAAAATCATCCCTGTCATGTTATTAAAAATCAAATTGATAAATTTTGGCTTGCGATGCACCCGCCAAAAAATTAATTATTCAAGATGTTTAATCATGATGTCGTGTCGTCGTGTAGCCACACAGGCCTCGGAACGATGGGGGCGGCGGTGGAGGTGGTCGACACAAGAAGCGTGTAAGACAACCCCACAACACGAGAGAGAGACAGCGACAATTGGCGGTTGGTCATGGCGAGTACATAATGCCAACTCAGGGGGTTCAGTATCGTACGCCCCATAATATTCCAGACGAATCATTACTGGGATTGGTAATGACTGATCCGAGACCACCAAGACCCAACAGTATAGAGTTGAGGAGGAGTTATCCAGCTGATGAGCAGAATTTGTACAGTCCACCAACGGCAAATGATCATTATAGGTAAAGTGAAAGGGAAATATTCGTAGGAAAAAAAATATTTCATGCAAAATCAAATAGTGAAATAGTGAAATAAAATAGTAAATACTATTTCATTTCAATTTCAAAAAGACATATAAATAAATTCTATGTGATCGACCAGAACATCTGGAGGCCCGGGTGTACTATCTTTCGAACGTTATCTCAATGTTTTTTTTTTTCATCTTTCGTCATCTGAAATTGTCAATTAAGTCCTGCGTCATGCAGAAGTTTTGAAAAATTATGAATGAATAATACAAAAAAAGCAGAAGAAATTCTTAATTTTTTCAAAGAGCATTTTTAATTTACATTCAGAATAAGTTGAATAACAAGAAATTGAAAAATGTATCTGATTTACGGTGACAAATGGCGACCTCTCACCCAATATCATGCAGGGGGAGGACTGATTTCGTAAATCTTTTCCCACGCTGCACAGAGACATTTATTACGGAAAAGGCTCTTTGAAAAAAGTTGTAATATTTTGGAGAATTTTTTAATCACACTTTTATCACATAAAAATGGCAGATGACTACATACCACTGTTTTGAAAATTGAGATACCTAGCTGTCACTTCCCATGAGGAGTTAGTGTTTTGTTATTCACCATGGAAAATGACAGCTAATAGATAATTTGCCACAGCGAATCAGATATTTGTAATTTCCACTTGTTTCAACTCATTCTGAATCTCAATTAAAAACGCTCTTTGAAAAAGTTCAGAATTTTTTCGATTTTTTTTATCATTCTGTCATAATTTTTGGGAATTTCTACACGATGTACCACTCAATTGACAATTTTGGATTACGAAAGATGAAAAAAAATCCAGATAACTTTTGAAAGATAGTACAGCCGGGCCTTAATTTCAATGAAACAGTGGCCAGCTCTGAGAGCTTGTGAAAAACTCCAGGAACATCCTGTTCATTGTTTCAGGGCGACAAATTACTCAGCCCAGGGTTACGACGACGGTAGTCTCTACAGTTCGCACTACGCAGCGGGCCAGGGCCAGCCAGGAAGTGAAACGTACCAGTCGCCGGGTCAGAGTACTCCAAGCAGAGGTGGCAAATCCCGACCCTCTCAGCCACCCCCAGCCCCACCCAGCAATGCATCGAGCAATTCAACTCCCACAATTGCATCCGCCAATAATACCCCAACGAGGGGTAGATCAATGAGCACAGGAAGAGATACACTTCCACCTCCGCCACCACCACCCGGTGAAATAATGTCACCGCCATCGATGAATGGCACTATTCCGGCCCATTTGCTCAACAGAAATGGCAGTCGTTCCAACAGCCCTCTGCCGAGCCACCAGTCGACACCAACGCCTCCGAATCATGGAATGCCAATGGGTGTTGATGAGCCTGATCCAGCACCACAGGATTTACCACCACCACCACCCACTCCTGATCCAATACCGACGAGGCCAATATCACCCCCCTGCAACATTCCACCACCACCACCACCTCCACCACCACCACCAGTTGCTAATGGACCTGTGCAAGCTCTGCCACTTACCAATGGAGATATTGCCAAGATGATTGCTACTAATCCACCGAAATTGAGACCCATCAAGAATATTGTCGATGGACAGATCAAGAAACCACCGAATGCTAATATTCCTATCGTCGATCCGAGGAATGATCTGCTGAAGGCCATCAGAGATGGTGAGTATTTATATAACTTTTTTCATTTTCACAGAATAATGTAGTGTTAAGGTCGGGTGTACCATCTTTCGAACGTTATCTCGATGTTTTTTTTTCATCTTTCGTTATCTGAAATTGTCAATTGAATTGAAAAAAAAGTAGAATAAATTCTTAATGTTTTCAAAGTGCATTTTTAATTTATATTCAGAGTATGTTGAATGACAAGAAATTGAAAAATGTCCAGATTCTTAGGGTCAAATGGGGATTCAAATGAGAACTCTGTTCAAATGAGAAATGTTCGACTACAAAAACAGCCAAAAAAAAAAACAAAATACTTGAATATCCTCAAAATTCATGACGCAGTTCTAAAAAAATCCCAAATTTTCATCCTCAAAATTTTCACGACAAAATAAAATAGTAGAAGATAATAATTGAATACCTCCGCCCCAATCCTCAAATTTTTAAAGCCTCAAATTTTCAAAATAAAAAAAAATGCTACGAAAATCTCCAGTCGTTTGTCGCATGGAATAAAATTATGGATATCGTTAATTTCAGGAATTAAACTCCGAAAAGTGGAGAAAATTGAGCAGAAGGAGGTGGAGCGTGTCAATGCCCTGAATGACGTGGCGTCGATATTGGCACGACGTGTGGCTGTTGAATTCAGTGACAGCGACTCAGCATCGGAGAGCGAGTGTGACAGTGAGGGCTGGGGTGAGCAGGACTCGAGTTTAGCGTGACCCGTGTCGTATCCACCCACCGCATCTGTCTCGTAAACTATCACAACAATGTTTGATGAGTGAAAACAGGATTAGTGAATTTGATGAACGCTGTTGAGAATTTGTGCATGAATTTTCAACAGAAAAACATTGAAATTCCGGACTAGTCTTTCAATTTTCAGACAATTAGGAATGTTATTCGTGGGGGAGTGAATATTCATGTCGAATTATTTGGGAATTGTGGAAGTGAAAGAAAAATATCGAGTCATTGACGATGAAAATCGGTCGATTTAACCCGAAAATAAAATAAAAATCAACAGTTTTGTTTTGATCAGACTAAAAATTTCGATTCTTTTCCTGAATATCTCCCAGTCGAACGATACGATTTTGACGAATCAGGCGTCATTTTAAAGCTATCAAAAAGCCCTTCAAAATGAAAAAAAAATCGCCGATTTTCACTCTGCCGATCTCGAGTTATCACCGATGAAAATCGATGGATAAAAAAAAATTTCCAACAGTTGAATGTTTTTAATTTAACGCGCACATAATTGTATCCTCAACTCAATTAAAACTGTTCTGAAAGCGCATAATAGGTACATTCCGCAAGTACTATTGATAAGTGATGAAGGGGGAATTATAACAGATCTTCTACTCATTATTCTTCGTGTAAACGAGTGCTTTCTCTAATGTATTTTAAAAAATTTAACAAAATGAATTGATTCGATGGTCGACGACATCTCGAGAACTAGATACCGAAAAAAAAATTGACAAAAATCTACTGAGAATGCAAATACTCCATTACCATAAGCTTAATAAATTAAAAAAAAATCAGATCTTCGTAATTTCTTCCAGACGAGCGCGAGGTAGAACAACAGTTGTGATTTATTTTTCATCAGTAACAATTGAATGAGAACAACAATTCTATAAAGATATATAAACATATATTGATTGTTAAGACAACGCATAATTGAATGTGTTAGTCTGATGGACATGATTAATTATCAATGTGAATTCAAAACATGTTTTATCCAAAATGTTTGATTGGTGAATATTTGATGCTTGTTAATATAATCTAAAGCTGCACGTAAATTAATAAATTGATTAATGATTGAAAATAATCCTCAGTAATGCAGAGCCCTGTATAAAATGCTAGGGGGAGGAGCTATTTCTTCATCAACGACGAGTGTAAATTTATTAATTGTAATAATTTAAGTTATAGTACACGGTGAAAGCCCCTAGGAAACCAATAAATCGATCATTCTTCAGTGTAACATGTTTATACATAAATATAATATACAAATCTTATTATTGAAGCTGAACTAGGTGTAAGATGATTTTAGGATCTAAAATGTTATTTCCGCCAACTACGACAGTATTTATCTCGCAATATTCAAATGTCAAGTTCTTTTATGTTAAAGATTATGGTGGGGGGAGACTGCACGGACATTTCGGAATGAAGAGAAATGACGCGAAATCTCCTCAGCCATTAACGATCATATTAGTAATTAAAAAAAAAATTGTTTAAAATTAATTAATAATTAATTGATTAATTAATTAGTAATTCATTAATCAGTGCTTTTTTCTGGTACTAATTAATACTTAATATTAATACTATTAGTACTTTTTTAATTAATAAAGTACTAATTAATTAATTCATTAATTAGTTAGTAATTTTAAACAAAATAATTTTGTTAAAAATTACTGGTATGACCGGTTAATGGCTGAGGAGATTTGGAGTTTTTTGAAGATGAACGGAAACGGTTGAAATAATTTTAAAATAAAAAAGAAATGAAGTTTGGATTTTTTTTTTCAAAATGGATTCAGATGGAAAATTTTTTCAATTTGAAATATTTAACTGGATCACAGATCAATGAAACAGAATTTTTTTCGGATTTTTGGAATCATTTGTTTAGAATTTAATGAAAATAATGATGAAAAAAATCGAAAGCCAATTTTTTATTTTTTTTCAATTAAATTCTGATTGGATTTTGGAATTTCAATGCAGTCTTACCTTAAAGTAAACGGATGATGAAACAGCGAGAGGTAATGTATTGAGAATAATGTAAATTCAAGGTACGAAGTACCAACGGAATTCTGTTTAAGATTATCCACGAGGAGGGGAATGGCTATGATTAATAATTAACCATAGAGATCGTGAATATACCGCATGTATAAATTAACAGGATTAGTATTCCGTTAGCAGTCGGAATTATGAATTCAGAAAGAGGAGTGGATGCTAATTGCCTGCCCCACATGGAGGAAAAATGCGCGTCAATGGGAGTCAATGGTTGCAGGTGGGGGCAGGCAGTGCGGATTATTCAAGTAATAATTAATGTAATTGTATTAATGGATAATGAAATTTGTAGTTAAAATGGAGAGGAACACTGTACAGAGCCAAATAAAATCAAAAAATTTCATAAATTATGGAAATAAATGGTGTGGTGGCTGATTAATTGGGGGTATTCGCAATCCTGGGTGAGAGTGTTTCATAATTTTGTGTGAATTCGATACGTGTAAATCATGAAATTGCAATGAACACGTGAATTCACAGTTTTCATTAATTTTTCCATAAAATTTTTCCTTTTTAATAACGAAATGCTTCGAAATTTAAGTAGTCATATGATAACAAATTCTAACTGTTGTTGACAGTGTCCCAATCAGATTTTCAAGAAGCTGTTAATAAAAAAAATCAGTAAAAAAAAATTAATAAAAAAAAGGTTGATTAATTAAATTAATTAATTAGTTGAATGATTTTTTTATTTTATAATTTAATTAATTTTGAATTTTTTTTATTGAAAAAAATTAGTTTTTGTTAAAAAAAAAATTGAAACAAATTTTTTTTTAATCTTATTTTAAAAAATAACTCAAAATAATCAATTAAATAAATTAATTAATTATTAATTAATAATAATATAATTAATAATAATGAATAATAATAATTATTAAGAATAATTAATTCTTAATATTATTCTTAATAATTATTATTATTCATTATTATTAATTATATTATTATTAATTAATAATTAATTATTTATTAATTATCAATTAATTATAAATTTTTTTAACAAAAAAAATTCAACAAAAACAATTTTTTTTAAAAGCAATTCAATTATGCGTTGTTTTTTTATTTACGAAAATTATTAAAAATTGTTTAAAAATTAAAAAAAAAATTTGAAAGTTAAATAAGAAAAATTAGTCTCTTCAACGCAACATTTTTTCTTTTGTTCACCTGAATCATGAGCACACTATCATTACCTTTCCCTCTGGCGTCAAGGCGCAAACATAAAAACTAGGAATGAAGAGAATGATCAGCGGATTCAATCGATTTATTCCCTCCACTCCCCTAATTATTATCTCGCTGCCTCGCCATTGACTCCTTGGTCACGGATCGTCGGAGTAATTGTCGATAACTTGCCTCTGATATTGAATATTCAGCGAGTGAGAAGGCCTTCAGGATGACCTGCCCCGGCGAAAAAAAATTCATAACAGACTGAAACATCACGCTTCGATTTCCTACAGAGAATCTACTCAACAAAACACTATTCATTTTTCCTTTTTCCGATCTGTCGAACTTTGATGTTCGCCCCAGTCCCAATGGCGCAGCATCACCGCGCGGCCTGTTGAGTAATTCCCGATGATAAAATGCAAACATTACGAGTACGTGGATGCGCAATCACTGATAAGCGGGCGCATTTCCTGAGAGGATAAATCAATAAGTACATAAACTTGGGAAGTGAGGAGACAGTGATGGGCGCTCTAATCAGTTTGATAGAATAACATTGATACAGTACATAAATATTTGGATTATCTTTCATTGCTGTCCCTTCATGTTCACTATTTGCAGATTAATGGGATTGTAAAATATCCATTTGCACGTGTAAATGATATTTAGGGAATGTATTTCGCGTAATTTGGGATTTAACAGGTAATTTGCGATTGAATGTTGTGTCAAATGACAATTCCACTGGAATTCCATTGGAAAAATCGATGGAACTGGGAATTTCAAGTCCTTTATTTCATGACAATTAATAGGAATGAAGAAAATTTGAGGGAATATAGTTGTTGATTCTGAATTCAGTGAAAATTCAGCATAATTTGGCATCTAATATTCATCTTGCGATTGAATGTTGTGTCAAATGACAATTCCACTGGAATTCCATTGGAAAAATCGATGGAACTGGGAATTTCAAGTCCTTTATTTCATGACAATTAATAGGAATGAAGAAAATTTGAGGAAATATAGTTGTTGATTCTGAATTCAGTGAAAATTCAGCATAATTTGGCATCTAATATTCATCTTGCGATTGAATGTTGTGTCAAATGACAATTCCACTGGAATTCCATTGGAAAAATCGATGGAACTGGGAATTTCAAGTCCTTTATTTCATGACAATTAATAGGAATGAAGAAAATTTGAGGAAATATAGTTGTTGATTCTGAATTCAGTGAAAATTCAGCATAATTTGGCATCTAATATTCATCTTGCGATTGAATGTTGTGTCAAATGACAATTCCACTGGAATTCCATTGGAAAAATCGATGGAACTGGGAATTTCAAGTCCTTTATTTCATGACAATTAATAGGAATGAAGAAAATTTGAGGATATGTATTTGTTAATTTTTAATTAAGTGAAAATTCAGCATAATTTGGGATTTAATATTCATCTTGGGATTGAATGTTGTGTCAAATGACAATTTCGCTGAAATTTCAAGGAATTGCAATTGAAAATTCACAATTTGAGAAAAAAAATCGAAGTTGCATAAATCTTTGGATTATCAAATACTACTATTCTTTCATGTCTTCATTAATGTTTTGTCAAATGACAATTCCACAGGAATTTCATGAAATTCCGCAATTAAAAATTCGCAATTTGATGAAATAAAATGAAAGAAAAATGTAAACTGCGAAATAATTTACTGAGCTATCATCACACAGCAATTTTTCAAATAATCGTGAGAACGTAAGCTCCATAAAAACAAAAAATGTTTCAATATCACGGCAATTCCATTGAAAATTCATAATTTTTAGAAAAACAATCAATGAAACCCGAAATTCCCATTCAATTCTTTCACGAACATTAATATAAATAAGGAAAATTCAACACAATTCCTCTAATATTCATCATGCGATGTTCACAACTGACAATTCCACAGGAATTCCATGAAATTCCTCAATTAAAAATTCACAATTTGATGAAAAAAAATCAAACAAAAATGTAAACTACAAAATAATTCGCTGAGCCATCATCACGCCCCAATTTTTCAAATAATCGTAAAAACCTAAACCCCTTAAAAACGAAAAATGAACGATTTGGGCTCTAGATTCTTGAGCTTTGCAGAGCCATAACTTGCATCTGAGTTTTATAGTGCTCTCAGAGGATAAGCCACCCGGGCCAGTGTATACCCGCGTTTATCCCTCGAAAATTCTGTTGCGGTTTGGCGAATATACCGGAATTTAATAAACCAGTTGGTGTATATCATTGAGAGGGTTGGTAAACCCACTTTCCCCCGCTGCTAACCAGTGGTGAATCGAGTGAATATGTGTGTGATAACACAGCCGCGTTTTATCCGATTTCCCCAGAACTGGAAGGAGTTATAAATTGCGGCGATACCCAGCCCGAGGGATCGTAAACGCCTGTGGCATACGATTTTGAATCGCTCGTGCTCTATCTGCATACGTTTTTTTGTTTTATTTTATCTTTTTTATTTGGAAATCTCGTGGGGACGGTGTACTGTCGCGCTTATCCCCCCCCCCTTCACTGCATCTTTGCAAGTTCACGCGAATAAACGCGAATGGCTGTGAATGGAAAGTTTAATGCTGAGAATTCAAGGGAATTCAAAATTTCTGAGCCGCTGTCGATAAAAACATGACTATTCAGTACGAAATTATGCAGAATTTTTCGTTAATTGAGAATTCAAGAATATGTTCACTAGAATTCTCCCGATAGTCTGTTGATGGATTACGATTGAAAAAATAAAAAAATGTTATATTGAAGAATTGCATCAATTTCGAAAGCAATGAATTTTTTTTCTCTCTATAGAGTAAAAACCCAAATTGACTTCTGGTGATAAAAATTTGGTACTCGAAATTAAGACACCACAATTAAGGGTCACAAGGGTCAAAATAAGGGTCACGAGGATCAAAATAATGGTCATGAGGGTCAAAATAAGGGTTACGAACATGAGAATAAGGGTTATAAGGGTCGGATTAAGGGTCACAGAGGCCATTGAGGGCGATAAGGGTTAGAATAAGGTTCACAAGGATCAGAGTAAGGGTCACCAGGGTCAGATGGGTGAGATTAAGGGTCATATGGATCAGATTAACGTTCACAAGGGTCAGAATAAGTGTCGCAAGGGCCTGAATAAGGGTCACCAAGGTCTGATGGGTGAGATTAAGGGTCATATGGATCAGATTAACGTTCACAAGGGTCAGAATAAGGGTCGCAAGGGTCGGATTAAGGGCCATAAAGGTCATTAAGGGTGATAAGGGTCAGAATAAGGTTCACAAAGGTCAGAATAAGGGTCACCAAGGTCTGATGGGTCAGATTAAGGGTCATATGGATCAAAATCAAGTTCACAAGGGTCAGAATAAGGGTCACAAAAATCAGGTTCAAAGTCATAAGGGTCAGAATAAGGGTCACAAGGTCATATGGATCGAATTAAGGGTCACGGGGCCCTAGTCCTTAATAAAAAATTGAAAAAAAAAAATTATCACTCAAATTTTCTGCGTATCACCCCCCAGGAAATAACACATTTCGTTCCTGGTGAGCTTTTCCCAATCTCAATTCACCATAAATGAAGGAGAGGATCGCAGGCTGACGTGCTCTAGGTTGTCTGGTGTGCCTCAAACTTTTCCCCGAGTGGAATGGGTAATTTCGTGCAAAATCTTGGTTACTTTCGCAGATAGTGTATGGCTCGGGGCTTGAAGACAGGAAGGATAAAAAGCTCGAGTGGATGGGGGAGTAGTTGGTATGGCGCAACTGTGGAATTCCTCGATATCCCCAGCCGTCGCCCCCAAGCATTCTGGATAATATTCAAATTCTCCCTCACTGACGAGAGTTTTAATGAAATCCACGGCTGCGGGAGTTGAGGGATGTATTATATCGGTATGTCTTCACTACGGGTTGCAAACTATTTGCGTATGCACAAACAAAAATGAACACTCTGACGGGGGAGAATGTGAAAGCAGGCGAGCTATGAAAAACTTATCTCATTTTTATGAAGTTTCCGATCATTTTTTTTATGAAGAAGGTATTGGTCTCTATAATTCTGTATAATTTTTTAATGAAGGAATTATTGAAACTAATTATTTAGACACTTGTTTACTAAGGAAAGAAAAAAATTGCAAAGTTTTACTTTTAATTTAGACATAATCTGACTGGGGGGCCACGCCCCCTGCTCGCTCCGCTCGCCAACCCCCGTATAACCCCCGTGATCCTTAATCTGACCCTTGTGACCTCATTGGATCCTTAATCTGACCCTCATTATAATCCTCGTGACCTGTATTTTGACCCTTGCGACCCTTAATTTGATCCTTGACACTTATTTAGACCCTTGTTACCCTTATTTTGGCCCTCAATCTGACGCTTAAGACCCTTACTCTGACCCTTGTTACCTTTATTTAGGCCCTTAATCTGCCCATCGTGACCCTTAATCTTGCGACCCTTAATCTGACTCACGCAACCCTTAAACCGACCCTTGTGATCCTTATTTGGACTTTTATTCTGACCCTGGTGACCCTTATTCTGGCCCTTGTTGCCCTTATTTTGGCCCTTAATCTGACCCTTGTGATCCTTAATCTTGCAACCCTTAATTTGATCCACATAACCCTAAATCTGAACCTTGTGACCCTTATTTGCACCCTCATGACCCTTGTACCCCTCAATTTCCGAGTTTTAATTTCGATTACCAAATTTCAATCCCCAAAAATCTATTTGCATTCTCACAATATCGACAAAAATAATTCAATAAAAGCGAGAAACGTCCGGGGACATTCCTCCTCAGAAGAATGAGCCACAGAAAACATGAACACGAGGACGTGCTTTGAAAATTCCCCTATAAAATTCCATCAGAATAAATTCCTAACTTTCTGGTGTACTTTCGACATCAGTAATAAAAGAAATTGAATAAATTTGACAAAAGTGCCCCCAAGCTCCCCCCCCCCNAAAGAAATTGAATAAATTTGACAAAAGTGCCCCCAAGCCCCCCCCCCCCCGCCCCCTTGTGTGTTTCAGGCACTCCTTGAGGGATGAGCAGAGCTTCAAAGTGAACTCACGTAATGGCACGTTCCCTTTCTTCCTCCGGAAAGTTTAGTGCCTGAAATTCCGTGAGCGTCAACCGCCCCCCCCCCCCCCCCCCCCCCCCCCC